TCCCTCCTTCCCTTCTTTCCCTTATTTAGAGCTTCTAAAGAGAAAACCACACAAACTTCTCATTTTTTAAATTAGTGTAAAAAGACAAGTACTCAAAAGTCATTATTCTATGTCATAGATTACTTTTTTTCCTGCAAATGGACAGTGGCAAATTTTATTTGCTTTTAATCAAAGGAGCTGTCTCTAAGTGAGACCCCTAAATCAGGGATCAGGTAAGCTGTAGTTCAGTGTCTTAAGTTTAAAAGTTAACATGTCTCAGTCAACTCGAAGGAATTTCTTCTTCTTAATTGAAATTTCTTGCTATGGCTGATTTTATATAATTTTAAATCTTATATTTTGTTCTTTTAAAAAAGTTTAAATGTTTTAAAATGTACTGTTCATAGGCACTTGTTAGCAGATTATAAGTTTGATGAACAATATTGACGTACTAAGGTTTTGAAGTTCCTGTATATATTACTTAAGTCAGTGAGTTAGGAACATTCAGCTCTTTTTTTAAGTTGCTAGTTCAGATTTTTTTCTTAGTTAAAATGTGTTATAAATTTGTTTTACAAGTTTTGTAATATCCATTCCATACCAGTTTTTGATAAAAAGTTAACTGTTTATAAGGATTCATAAAATCTGTACATTAGCTGATTTCTTAGGAAAAAACACACAACCACTTTAACATATTTTATTTGGAGAGTGGTTGGACCTTAAATTGTTTGCATAGGGTAGTAATTCATATTTAACTAGTTTTCCTTTTTTTAAAAAAAATTAGCCTACTATGTGTATATAAAACTTTCTATTTAATGCTCTTATTAACCTGTGTATTAATATTAAAACACCCTTAAACATAGAGCCTTTTAGGTCAATATTTCAAGTCTTTAAAAGCCTCATCTCTAGTTGAGATGAAGAGTTTTGCTAAGAAAGGCTCCGTAATGTGCTGTTTTATATTAACAGGAAACAGAGCAGCAGTAGTGGTTTGAATGCCCTGCAAACAGGAAGTTTGACACATGCAGAGCTCTTAGCTTCTGTGTAAGAAGTTGTTGGGCTCCTTCTGGAAACATTTTCAGCTACTTTAAGTAAAGTGTAAATACACGTGAATGGCAGCTTATAGAGACCTCTCCGGTAACCAGTATACAGGTACAACTGCTCTCCAGAAATTGGAAGGTTTTGCTAGCCGGTTATTTCATAGACACTCTAAAGGTGCTGCACATGATCAGAAAACAGCTCTGGAAAATGACAGCCTTCATTTCTCTGAACATACTGCCTTATGGGACAGATCAAGTAAGTTTTTATTTAATAATACATTGTAACTAGAAGCTAAAATGCCAAAACATAAAGAACTATGTTTTGTTTTTCTTTCTGTGATTTGAACAAGGACATTTTACGAGATGAACTTGAAAGAGTTCCACAAAAACTTGATTATAAGTTGAGCCGAACCGTGTAGTTCATTATTTTGTTTTATCTATAACTAGTTATGTTGAATATCAGTAGGAAACTTCTACAAACTTTTTGCATCATTTCTAGTGTATATTTCTGGGGAATGTTTGCTTTTATTTTTTTGTTCTTATATAAAAAGTGAAATGTCTAAATTTTAGAAACAATGATCAGTTCATTTTTAAAAATTTCTTGGGTGTATAAGCCTTAAAATTTGAAAGGGGGAAGAAGATTCTTTAATTTTTAATTAAATTTCTATCATATTTGCCAACTTGTTTTTAAACACTTGTGGAAGTTAACTTCAGTTTTGTAAGCAGGATTTCTAATATCAAGCATAGTATTAGTCTATGTGAAATCTTACAACATTTTAAAAATCAAAAGCATTCATAATTATATTTTATGTTACTTAGAATTATGGTGAAAGAGGGAAATTGTTTATGCATGCATCACATTCTTTCCAGGCATGTTACAATGTTTGGACTTAGTGCTTGCTTTGCTAAAATAGTTGTATGTAACCATGTTTGGTGACATGTACTTTAAAAGATATATTTCACATATAGACAATACCAGTGCCTCTATTCCTTATGTAACTTTGGATCTTCCCCAAGGTATTTTTGTCACTGATTAAAGGAACAGTAGAACCACCCCTAGTAGTCTTGCCCTTTTTGGTATGTTTGTTTGATCATCAAACAGCACCAGGCTTTGCCTCTTTTGTTTATATCTTCCATAGCAGTTAAGAGGAAAAAAACAACTCAGTTTTAACAAACAACAAAAGCGGTTTACAAAATTTACTCCTTGGTTTATACAGTACCTTCGTAGTTGTATAGAAGCTTATTGAATTATTTTTTTACTCCATCAGAATTTTTTTTTTTACCTTCAAGTTATTTTAGGGAGAAAGTAAAGAATTTGTACAGTTGTTTTTTTTTACACTCCAAAGGTTCTCATTATTTATAATTAATTCTTACTACCTAGTTAATAGATGAGGAATTTCAAATATCTTCAAGGTAGTGAACTAAAGAATATTGAAATTATAGTAAATTATTAAAATTTACCATGCAACAAAAGTTTATTATTCATTCTATTTGCTCTTTCTGTTAAATTGTCATCTCCTAATTTATCTTTTGGAAGCCTTTTTTATGCATTTCAAGGATCTTTTAATTAAAAGTTCAATGAGGAATGAGGTCAATACTGAACTAGTTTCTGTTTCACTAATACTTGTTCCTCCAAATAGTGGGTATTTAATAACTGTATCTTGGGCTTTTAATAATTAAGGATTATGTTGGAACTTTATTTTCACCATTTAAAAAATGTATGGGGCCCCTGATGTTTTCTGAAACACAATTTAAAATCTAATAGTGGAAGATAATATCGTGAGCCATGATTTCTTTTTGGGAAAAAACAGACTGATAAAATGCTGTTAACATATTTTCATTGTGATGTCACAAAATAAAATAAATAGGATCACGTACATAAGTAAAATTAGGTGAAACTTGTAACCTGCAAATAATGGGCATGATACAAGAAATACCAGAAGAGTAACTGAGTGTTCATGAATCAGGTATTCTTTAACTCTCTTTCATATCTGCCAAATATCAGATATACACAGTAACTTCATATATGTAATAATGAGTGTGGTAAACTTGGAACTCTTGTTTCCTATTATGGAAGTTTTTGATAACAAGGAGAAAAGACTGATACAGCAGAAACAGAGGAGTCCTATCTTTGCAAAATTCCAAGGTTTATTTTTGTGGCAAAAACACAAATTTTTATTCATTTATAGAATAAGCTGTGGAAGGAATTTTGACTGTATGAAGATTTTATACAAACCACATTTTTCAAAGCTACTCAAAGCAGCTGACAAGCACGACTTGTTTGACAAGTAAAAGGAATGTACTATCTTCCGATAATAAATACTTGGAATATGATTGTTCCCAAAGTGCTATTTTAAGCAACAACTAAGCACAGAAGCTACAAGTAATTTTTTAAAAAGTGGGTTCATAAACTATGGAGTAAAGATGAATTACCAATTTAGGCATGTTTGAAATGTAACACGTTTTAATCCAAGTTTCTTTCTTCTTCGGTGACATTAAATATAGGAAGAAATGCAGAATAAAGGCCGCATAGTGTTTACAGGAATTCCTGTTTGATAACATAAATATTTAACAGCTGATTCCATGCACATATAAGTCCATGAAGTTCAAAAGAAAAACATGGAGGAATTCTGCTTTTCGTTCTGACTCAAAATGAATGGGAGCCTTAACATTCATTGAGTTCTCTTTCTAGCAGATGTATTATGGTTAACTTTTAATAATTTCTTTGATCACAAACAGTGTATTAAGTTATATAATGATGAATTTGATGAAGTTTCCCACATTTTAAATCTCGGACTTGATCCATTTAATGAATGCCGGATTACAGCGTTTTAAGGACTGGATCGGCGCATTGCTGTCAGACCTGCCTTGCCTGCCCTGCAGGCCCGTGAATTGGCAGGCTAGTTGCCGGCAGGTACAAATCCATACTAGCGAATCTTAGATTTAAATACTATCGTGAACAAATGAGCAATTTTGAATATGGATTTTTTTCAGGTAGACTCTAACCGACCACTTTAGTCAGTTTTACAACTCTCCAAAGCTCATACAGTCTTTAAGACAACTCACGTCCATGCTTATTTCTTAGACCACTGAATCTGTATCATTGTAACTTCTAAGCTAAAGGACCTTCCACATTACCTTTTATCTATCTTTTCCACCTGCAACAATTCCGTAGGCTTCTGGATCATCATCAAGTTTTATTCATTTGGGAAACTTAGATTTTGAGTATTTCCTAAACATCAGCCTGTAAACAGGTCTCTGGGAAAAATAAGATCTAGTTCTTACACTCAGAAACAAGAGTAGGAAGAGCAAGCATACAAACAATTCCAGGCAGAGTGAAGTGATTGCTTAAAAATGTGCAAGTAGCTTGCTGTGGGAGTTTAGTGTACGAAGAAATTAACACTAAAGAGAAGATGGGCCTTCAAGAATACTGAGGAATGAATAGAATTTTCAGACTCAGAGAGGAAAGGTTATTTTACTATAAGAAAATAACAAAGATGTGAAAATGAAAATTTAGTATTTACTTAAAAGATATAATAAGATATTGTCTGGAAAAGTAGACTGTACATCTGATCTCAGTACCATGGGGTATTGAGAAGGAACAGCCTTGAGCAAGCTTCAGAGGATTTTGTTGGCTCTTTCCCCCAAGGTAATGGATGCCTACCAGCCTTACATTTACATAATTAAGTTGTCCATTGCAGTGATTCTTCCCACAGCAAAGATCTGCTTCAAGCCAGCTGTCTCTACTTAGGTAGAGAAGCACTTGACAGTTTTTTAAAAAAATGGAAGTATAACTTATGTACCATAAAACTCACTAATTATAAGTGTACAGTTACTAATAAGTTTAACAGTAAATTTATAGAGTTGTGCAGTCACCATAATTCAGTTTGGGAACATTTCCATCACCCCCAAATTTATTTTGTACTCTTTTGCAGTCAATTCCCACTTTCACCTAAACCTCAGACAAACTCTGATCTGTTTTCTCTTCCTACAGATTTCCTTTTTCCGACATTTTGTATAAATGGAATTATGCAGTATATAATCAATTGTTTCTGGCTCCTTGCACTTAGAATTGTCTTTTGAGGTTCACCCATATTATGGGACATATCAATAGTTGGTTCCTTTTTATGGCCGAATTGTAGTGTTGTTTGGATATGACATATTGTGTTTATCAACTCAGCAATTTATGAATATTAGGATTGTTTCTAGTTTGGGGTTGTTTGGATAACGTTGCTATAAACATTTGTATACAAGAGTGGGTGGACATATGCTTTCATTTCTCTTGAGTAGATATCTAGGAGTAAAACTGCTGGGTCATATGGTTAAGTTTATGTTTATCTTTTTAACTTCCAGTTTTGTTTTTTTCTAAGTGGTTTTACCATTTTACATTCCCTCCATTTGGGTTACAGTTTCTTCACATCCTTGTTAATGTTTGGTACCATCAGTATTTTTTATTATAGCTGTTCTGGTGTGTGTATAGCTATTCTGGTATTTCATTGTGGTTTTCAGTTTGTATTTCCCTAATGATTGATGATGTCGAGCATATTTTTCTTGTTCTTATTAGCCATTCGTGTATCTACTTTGGAGAAATGTATTTTCAAGTCTTTTGCTCACTTTCAAAATTGAGGGATTTTTTTTGGTCTTATTATCAAGTCTTAAACGTTCTTTACATATTCTGAACACAAATTCTTTACCAAATACATAATTTGCAAATATTTTCTCCTAGTCTGTGACTTGCCTTATTTTATTTATTTTATTTAATTTTAAAATATATTTTTATTGATTTCAGAGAGAGGAAGGGAAGAGAAAGAGAAACATCAATGATGAGGGAGAGTCATTGATTGACTGCCTCCTGCATGCCCCCTGCTTGGGATGGAGCCAGCAACCCAGGCATGTGCCCTGACTGGGAATCGAACCACAATCTCCTAGATCATAGGTCGATGCTCAACTACTGGGCCTTGCTGACCGGGCTTCATTTTTTTTTTTAAATATTTTTATTGATTTTAGAGAGAGGAAGGGAGAGGGAGAGAGAGACAGAAACATCAGTGATGAGAGAGTCACTGATCGGCAGCCTCCTGCATGCCCCTTGCTGGGGATCGAGCCTGCAACCCGGGCATGTGCTCTGATCAGGAATCGAACTGCAATCTTCCGGATCATAGGTCCATGTTCAACCACTGAGCAACACGGGCCAGGGTTGTCTTATTTTCTTAAATGATGTCATTGAAGAACGAAAGTTTGTAATTTTAGTGATGTCCA